CCATTTTAAAATGTATCGTTCCTGAATCGTATCGTATCCCATGTATCGAGATACACATCGAATCGTCTTTTATTGGAAAGATGCACACCCCTATTAACTGCATTTTGGTGTCTAGTACTTGTACTTTGTGCAATGACAATAAAATTGAATCTAAACTAATATAAACTGCAGTGTAAGAACTAATTCAGTATCGACGGTACATTTTTATTAAATAACCCAACAATGTCACATTTAGATATAAAATACAAATAACCAGTCCCTACAGGCTGTTTTTGGTATTGTTCTTGTGAATAACAGGTGTGCTCAGGTGTACCTTATCGAGCAGTCACAGTGTCTTATGGATAGATTCTCTGAAAATGATCTCAGGTCAGAGCTGTCAGCCAATAGGAGTTGATGATCTACTGCTGCTGTCTGTCCAATCAGAACGAGTCTGACGTCCTGAAGTGGGTGGTGAGGAAGGAGTTTGGCGAACTGCGGCGCTGCCTGGAAGTGGAGGAGGCGGGGTTCATGCAGCAGGTAGAGACGTCGGCCGCTGGCCTCATCTTGTCCCTCCAGAACCAAACAGAAAGGTTAAACCTGAACCTGAACCGGCTGCAGGAGGCCCAGAACACCCTGCAGGACCTGAGCAATGAGGGACACCTGGGCTTCATCATGGTACTGTCAATGATCAGTCCAGTCCACCAACAAAATTGACTGATCAATTATGTCTCTGTGATCAGTAGTGTTGATTGATTATTGATCAAATAATAATAATAATAATAATAATGTGTTATTTTTCTGTTTACAGAAGTATGGATCAATTGCTCCGAGGTAATAAACATCTCAACATGTTGTCAATTTACTCTTTTAATCTTTAAGAGATAAAGATTTTCACTTCCTCATTCTCCTCCTCCTCTTCCTCTCTCTTCTTTTTCTCCTCCTTTCCCCTTCCTCAGGTTCAGGGAGATCCAGGAGCTCCAGCAGAAGCAGGAGAGAATCTTCAGCTCTCTGAACTTTAAACCAGGTTTCAACCACAACGACATTAAACTTACTGTTTGGAAAAGATTACACCGAAAAGTCCTGCCAGGTACACATCTACCTTTACGTTTACTGTCATCTGTACCATTGTCTGTACCGTTATCTGTACCTTTACATGTACCATGATCTGTACCATGATCTATACCTATTATTTTTGTTTAATTTCTGAGAACCAATTCTCATTTGCAATGACAGCTTGGCCAAGAGGGAGCAACAGAAGAAGAAGAATAAGAAGATATACTTTATTGATCCCCTAGGGGGAAATTGTTTTAGAAGGCAGTCGATACAACATACATACAGCTATTGCAAAAAAACACAGTTCAACAGAGAATAAACAGCACAATATATAGAGTGTACAGTAAAGTTTTCCAGAGAAGCAGATTTAAAAGCCGGTACAATGTTCAGAAACTAACGCATGTACAGAGCTATTGAAGGAGGATAATGAAATAACAATGTGCAGTTTTAGTTACTTTTGCAACACGTTCCAGTCTCTGGTTCCATTGAGTGGTTCCAGTCACTGGTTCCATTCAATGGTTACTGTCACTGGTTACTGTCACTGGTTACTGTCACTGGTTACTGTCACTGGTTACAGTCAATGGAAGCAGCAGACTAAAAAGACTCACAGCCGAAGGCGGTACGGACTTTAGAAGTGTCCAAAGTAATTAACCTGGTAGAATTTTAACTGTGGATACTGTTGGAAATGTTGAGTATTGAACGGAGATATGGAGGTTTTATCAATGTTAGTTTTATAATTTAACTGATACCAGTAGAACTGACACCTGGTGTGCAGTGATTGCCAGTTGACTAGAGAGTACAGGCAGTGTACAGTCATAAGTATTGAAAGGGAAACCTGAATGAATGGCAGTATGGTAAATGACGTCCAGTTTGTTGATAAGAGTTTTGGAGGCAAACCTGTAGATTAGGTTTCCATAGTCCAGGATTGGGAGAGTTGTTGTTTGTTTTTCTGTCTCTCTGATTATATATTCCTTTTTTGCTCCAGCTCCAGAGCCGTTGAAGCTGGATCCTCAAACTGCTCACCCAATGTTGGAACTCCATCATGGACACACAGTGGTGGCCTGTGGAGCCCTGCTGCGGAGGCTTCCTGATAATCCAGAGAGGTTCAGTTACAGCTACTGCGTCCTGGCCAACCGAGGCTTTTCCTCTGGCAAACATTACTGGGAGGTAAACTCTGCTTTCCCTGTAAAGTAGATCAATCACAGTGTATTAACAGGAGATAAATACTGGTGTTCTCACTGTCCAGGTGGAGGTGGGTAACAAACCTAAATGGCGCCTGGGGTTGATCAAAGGAACAACAAATCGAAAGGCCAAGCTTGTAAAGAATCCAGAGAGTGGAGTGTGGTTGATCGGACTGAAGGACGGAGTTTATGAAGCCTTCGACTCACCCAGGGTGGTCCTGCCCGTTTTGTTTCCCCCCCAACGGGTGGGACTCTTCCTGGATTATGAGGGCAGAGGTCTGACCTTCTATAACACTGACAGTCCTGATGAGCTGGTCTTCATCTACAGCTTCAGGTTGGAGATCCAAGGGAAACTCTACCCCCTGCTGGACGTCTGCTGGCATGACCGAGGAGACAACAAACACCCCATTGTCCTCCCCCAACCTCACAGGGAGCACCTCCTCCCCCTCCCCCAGTCCCAGAAACATGAAAAGTGACCAAAAGTCCTCCTTTATTAAGACAGTTCTATCTCCTGACCCTAATCACCATATTTACACACATTTATCATCTTAATGTTCTTCCAGTGTGAGTCATCTTTACTTATTTCTATTATTTGATTAGAGCAGACAAACATTTAAAATACAGGCTTATGACAGGAAGCTCTGCTTCAGTTTTCAGAAAGGCAGGATGGTTTAAACAGAGGCTATTTTGTTGTTTGTTTGGGTGGAGTGAGATTTGTACTCTTATTTTGAGTTACAATTCCCTTTTCTTAAATGTGTAGTCTTAGTTTTAGTTACATTGTTCTGAATCTGTCTTGGGTTCATTGCACTCCTTAATTTTTTTTAAGGAATTTTTTTTATTACCAAAAATAAAGTTTTAAATAAAGGGGGGGTTAGGGATTAGGATAAATTAATATTTCTTGACGACTCCCCCTTCCTGGTTCCTTGACTCTGTAGTTAAACTGGGGAGCCTAAGACAAGGCATGGGCCACCGCATGTCGTGCCACATAACTTCCTGCTTGTTTCTCTGTCTTATTGTAAGGCTTCTTAAATAAAGGATTTTGGAATACTGACTTCATGGTTCTCTGTCCTAGAAAGCGTTTCAGGACATTGATTGATTGCTCCAGTCGATTGTAACAGGTTTGTAGTGGTTAGGACATCAAGAAATTATTAAAACATAGGAAACTAGCACCGTGGTACAACCACCAAACCCGCCAATTAAAGCAAAAAGCT